ATTAGTCTGTGACGTTAGTACAATTTGTTATTGAAAATGTATTAAATGAACCTCGGTGACGTTGAAAAGGAGAGTGGACAGTGGCGAAGGACTCATTTCGAAAATATATGTACTCCAGAGTAGAATGCATCCTTTAAAACTTGTTTTTGATAGGTATATGTTGAATCTGATTACAATGCCCAGCCAACTTGGACTATTTAGTCCTCTATGGATACTCCTGCTATCTAGGAGCCGTCGAGGTAACTACTTCTATACGTCATGTTAGTAAGCATGGAACATTCTTTGTAACTGTTGGAAACAATAAGTTCTTGTAAATAATATTTAGAAATTCTGTGTCTACCTTGAAGAGTTCAAGTTGCAAAGATCATTTGGTTGATGTTGTATAGGAAGACAACAACGTTTTATATTAAAGTAGGTGATACATGTAAACTACCTTCTTCGCTGTAAAGTGTTAAAACATTTTGGCATATTCAGAATTTTAGCACGTTATTTAAAATATATTTTATTTGGAAATATTTCGCCCTGCAATACTAAATCGAAAATATATTTGAATTATACGGACTTCAAATTATTCCGATTATAATCAGAGTGCATTATGTGAAACGTGAATCTTATATTTCAGTATGTAACTGGCATTAAGAGTAATGAGTGGAATGTAAATCCAAGATTAGCCACGGAATTAACTTTTCTGAGCTTAAATGTTTTTGGAATACTTATAATTAGCACTGTAGTGCATTAGGCTGTGTGTAACTCAACTATAATTCTTCTTCAATACGAAAATAACATACTCATTCAATTGACTGTCACCAAATCAAGCTTTAGATTATATCAAGACGTTTGTATGTGTTATGCAAAATGCGAATTTCATGTTTCAGAGTTTTTTTTTTTTTTTTTCAATAATTGTGTTGGAGTAAGTCAGAAATGAACCCATGCAGATTAATGGGAGATCATGGTAAATAAATGTCTCGCTTACCACACATCTTGGAAACACCAGGGCAGGGGTTCGACTCCTTCCTAGTATCCACTTAATTTTCCCCATTTTGTTAGTGTGACAACCACGTGTCAACTCAAAAACCACTGTCGTCCTTGAGAGGTTATGAAACCACAACCACAGTGATCAATGATCAATGCAGCTGCTAATTCTGTATCAGCTTCAATATCAGAACGTAATAACTTCACACTTAGTCACCAGTGTCACTTGTCTTGATGTGTTCCTGTTGGTGGGTTTTTGTTTCTGAATCTACGAACTGTAAAAATGTGTTTTAATTAAATATACGCTAACACTAATATTTCTTGCGACGATATATTGTATTTTGTTTATCGTGTACAGTAACTGTGTCACACGAGCTGTTTATAAAATACTTTAAACTCTTGTCAGATTTGTATTATACTACACTCCACCACTATGACGTCAGAGGTGTCGGAATGTATTTAAGATTTAATGTTTATGGAATACGTGTAAGTCACTTTATAGCCACTGAAAATATTTTATTTGGATTCATCGCTTGTAGCAATATCGCGAATGTATCTGAATCTTGTAAGTTTTGTTGAATGAAATGTACTTTTATAAAGGCACCGGCGTGGAGGATGGCGGAAGCGAGGACGGAGGGGAGAGGCGTTGCACACAGGTATTGCGAGGGGGGGGGGCAAT